GGGGGGGGGGGGGGGGGGGGGGGGGGGGGGGGGGGGGGGGGGGGGGGGGGGGGGGGGGGGGGGGGGGGGGGGGTACTCATGGTTTTAATGCTTGAGACAATTGACCGCGCGTCCTGGAGAGGACGGAGCATTGTTCGCAAAGGGCAAGAGGGGGGGTGGGCAAGAACGAGATGATCAGGAAGGTGCGGTTTCAGCGCTGTTTTCGTTCGACTCGTGTTCGGACCGGGTGCTTCATGCCCGCCAGGCCAGGCGGAGCAAACGGCACGCCAACCTCGCAATCCATGACAGCGTCAACACCAGTCTTCGCGCCTTGAGAAGTTCCAGCTCGTCTACAGCACAAAGGGAAAAGACAATCCCGAAGCAACACACGACGAACAGGACTCGTAAAGCCACACCCACAGGAGGAACGACGAGCGAATAACCTGCTAGCCCACATTTTCCCAACAGAACACACCGTGGCTACATTTTCCCCGTCAATTCTACTGGTGTGGCACGCCGTTTGAATATCTGCACCGTGTTCGCCCTGCCTGGGTCACAAGAAGAAAGATATTTTCGATCCCACCACGAATCCAAATGCAACCAAGACTTGACCGTGAAAAAAAAAAAAATCTCCGCGAAGATAAGAGGCCTCCATCCAAAAGGCCATCACTTCTCACCACACCATCGCGTCAAAACAACGCCACCGCAAACCATAAACAACTCACTAGGCGCGTCCATGAAGAAACGGTACACCCCCCAGAGGCAGGCGGACTGCGAGTTGGCGCTCTCCTTGCACACCCACTCCAGCGCCTGCAGCGTCGTAGCGGACGGAGCCGTGCGCCCGTCTGCCGTCAGCATGCTCTTGGCCAGCTGGTCCGCGAACACCGCCTGCTTCCGGACGTCGGCCGGCGCCGTTCCCTGCAACCAAGACAGGAAGCTCGGTCCGTCCTGCCGTTGCTGTGGGTGTTGATTTCATCGTCGTCGGCAGCAACAGCAACAACAGCAGCAGCAGCAGCAGCAGCAGCAGCAGCGGTGTCGTTAATTATTGTTCGCGTTAAAAAATAATCGAGGGCAAGCACCGCGCAGAGGGAGAGGACAGGAACCCTTCTGTGTGACCACCAGGATATGGAGCTCCAACGCTACATGAGCCGCCGTAAGCGCTCGTTGAAAGTGATGGGAAATAAGAATGTTGTTGTTGTTGCTTGTGTTGGGGCGGGGATTTCTTATCCCGTTGCTGCCAGCTAACGGTAAAAGTTGTTGTTAGCGGCGGCAGCAGCGTTGGTGCCCTTGACTAACTTTGTGCATAGATACAGGCCCGCTCGCAAAAAAACAAGTCTGAGCCGGTCCAATTGAGGCGGACGTCTCCGTGGCCGCAGGCCAACCACCAAGGGGTTCATACGCACTTGTAGGCCGTGCATATCGATCGCCTTGCGTTTGGTGCACCCATTTTCTCTTCATTCAACCTTGCATGACGTTCCACCCGTTTTCTGCCTCTCACATCTGTTATGTACATCAGGAACACCAGCATCTTGTTTTCAAACTTGTGGACTTGACCTCCTAATCGGCAGATTTGCTGTTTGTGTCAGCGCTGAGGTATGAAGTGATGAAAAAAAACAAGACTTGACTGCCTTCGACAGACTCCATCGACTGGCAAACAAACGGCGCCACTCACCGCAAGCTTAGGCTCGAGGATGCTCGTCACCCAAAGGCCGGGGTGAACAGCCCACAGCTGCTCGGCCTCGAGGTAATTCACGGCGTCGGCCTTCTGCGGGAAGAGCTCTGGAAGCGAGAACTTCTGGCTCTCCAACGTTTCCCGCACGCCAAGCGCAGATTCTGTCGACAGCATTTCCTGTTGATGTTCATTTTGCCGACCAAGTCGAAAGATGGACGAGAAGATGGGGGCAGAGAACAACATGACGAGCAAATACAGATCAATCCATGTCGAATTCCGCAAGATACCGAACCATTCAGCTTCGGTATCTTCGTTGCTGCGGCAAGGAGCTGCCACACACTCGGCAACTATGATAGAATCTGCAAGAAAACAAACTACGCTCGAAAGTATCTAGTACAGGGGTGAGCACCAATAGCATGGTGATGGACGTGGCACCCTGATGAGCCGCACAACACTTGGGCCACTGAATACAAACCAAGACTTCCTGACAAAAATCCAGCATGCACCTGCGCCCCATGTACGTGCAGCATGTTCTCGAATTCGGCTGAAGAAAGACCGACCACCAAACACGACGAAAATCCAGCATGCAACTGCGCGCTTGTACGTACAATGCATTCTGGAATCCAACTGATAAAAGAACCACCACCAAATAGGACCCAGCTACAATAGTTATTCCACGCGTGCCACCCCCCCGCCCCACCTCCCAGCGGAGCAAGCTCCATAGCTCTTTGCAGCACAGAGTCCTCACGCGTGGGCGAAAGTCACGACGGCAGCCGTGCCTAAACACCCCTAGCCGAGACTGGTTTGGTTGACTGGGTTTGTTTCCCGCTTATTTGCGCCCTTCCACCACCGAAACGTAGTCACCCCTCGTTCCATCCCCCCATTAGCCCGTGACAACTGCACAAGGTCCCCCAAGAACCAATACTCTGTTCCGCGGCGGCGGGTAAGTCAAAAACAAGCAAACGCACCTTCAACAAGGCCGTGAATATCTTTGTTAGGGCGCCGGGGCAGTGCTTCCGGACGGTCTGCGTGACGAACGGGAACACCAACGCCTTCTCCGAGATCAGAACCGCCAAGCAGACGCCCAGGCGTCTGCTCGAGGGCGCACGGGGTGGGGGGAGGGGGGGGCGGTGAGCGGGACGCGAACGGACAGCGGGATGTACCTGACACCACCTGACTTTGGTACCAAGCATTAGCAACAGCAAGGCGAGGACACCAACAAAACTACAAAACCTTGCCGTTCCTATCCCGCCGTCTGTCGTGTTCTTACGCACTGAGAACACACCGGAGTATCATGTCAACGAACTCACGATAACAAGGGTGTGTGCGTGAGCGTACAAACGTAGAAGAGATAACAACACGAGCACGACCAACACGTCGCCGAACACGAATCACTATCGGCGATCATCCGCGCGCCAATAGTAAGCATCATCATCAGACAGACAACAAGGTTAAGGAGGAGGCCGTGGGCATCACGATCATGTCTCACTTGTCGGCGTTCGGGGAGTCGACAGCGATGTCGGTGATGAACTCGATCATCGGGTCCAGCGTGCGCTCGAGTGCGTCCTGCGGGAGCTTCTGCTTGCTCGCCAACAAGCGCAGCAGATCGAGCCTCGCCGGTCTCTCGGCCGGCTTGCCTTCGAGCACCTTCTCGATGATGATCTTAGAAACCGTCTCTGGGATAGGTCCCGCCGGGAGTTCATCGAAAGACTGTGACGAACGGTGGGGCGGGGGGGGGGGGGGNNNGGGGGGGGGGGGGGGGGGGGGGGGGGGGGGAAATGCATACCTTAGCGGTTCAACCTTAACACTGTCGACAAGGTAGGGTGGTGTGTGTGTGTGTGTGTGTGTGTGTGTGTGTGTGTGTGTGTACTTTATGTTTTGCATGCCATGGCGTTTGGACTGTTGACCATTTCCGCCGGAGGTTCATCGAAAGACTATCGGGAAGGGTTGTCTATCTACCAATAGCACACCGAGCGTGGATTCTTCAGGTGCGTGAACAAAAGCAACTGTGGTACAGGGTGTGCCTGTGTAGATTTCCTAAAAAAGCGTCGTTTGAGAAGTCCGATACCCGGACAAAAAAGCGACTGCTGTGATTGTACCTCGGAAGGGGAACTGCGTAGCATCTCGCTGAGTTTGTGTCTACAGTATCTCAAAAAAAGGCGCTGTTGAAGCAGAGTCCGTCACCCAGGCCCCACCCCATACACCAACTTACCAGGAGCGCCTCGTCCTTGTCCTTCTCAGAGACGAACTCGTTCACGAACCCGTTGATCTTGTTCACGAGCTTCTCGCTAGGCTCCTCAACCTGCGCCGGCGACGCCAACGACGTCGGCGCAGCCGACGGTCCCGCTCCCCCTCTCCGGTCGTCTCCGCCCCGGCGGTCCCCTGCCCCCCCCGCACCGGCGCGGGCGGACTGCTGCTGCTGCTGCTCGAGCCGCCTGGAGCTGCGGGGATCTCTTCCTCCCGGCTGCTGTTGCTGTTGCTGCTGCTGGCCGCCGTACCTCGAGTCCTGGTGTCGTCGGTCGGAGCTGCCCCTCTGGTGTTGGAAGCTGTGTTGTTTTGGAACGTCACGAAGGGAGGGGGGGGGCGGGGGGGTACTCGTAGTCGTGCATGCCGTAGTAGTTATCTTGTGTGGTAGACCCCGGCACCTCGTGCACCGTACCATATCGTACATCGAAAAAGTCAATTTTGGTCATCGGTGCATGCGGGTGGGTAACTGTTACGCCATCAAAACCTTTTAGCGACGACTCACCCGTCAATCGGGCTGCTGCCGCCGCCCCCTCTCTGCTCCGCCCTCCTCGCTGCCCTAACGTCTTGCGGTCCCCCCTGCCCGCCCCTAAAGTCACTGGGGCCTCCGCCGCGCGAAGAGCCCCCCCTCCTGTTTTCGATGACACGGAGCCCCCGCAGGCGGGCCAACGCGTCCACAAAAAAAGGTTACAACAGGGGATGATGATAGCTCATCAAGGGGCACACAACGGAAACAAAGATAACACAATGTGAATCTGTGCTGGGAGAAGCCTTTCTCTCTTCGGCCTGCAGCGGAAACACGAAAAACATGACGGTCCAAACCTGATCGAGGACGAGAAAGTTGGTAATGTTCTCCATACGGCAGTGTATCCGGAGACAAGAGCAAATTGGGCCGGCGTTTCGCATCGGCCAACAAGTTGTCCCCATGACATACCACAAAACTAATCACAAGCTTCTAGACTGCCGCTGCTCTTACCACTTCTATTGCACGTCTGGCAGCAAAACTTTAACTAACCCTAGCCCAAACTGCTACAGTACTGCTGCTGAGGGTGCCAACGACCAGCGGAGGGTATCACTCACCCCGGGGGTCCCCCGCCCCTGGCCTCCGCCTCCGCCTCCTTACGGATGTCGTCCAGGGTCTTAGCCTTGTCCTGCTTGCGCCGTGGCACCCAGTTGTGCTTCTGCGCTCGGTACGCGGGACAAAAACACAGAGGTTCACCACCAGAGAGGACGAGAAAAAACACCGACACACAACCTCCGGACGTGCGAGAATATCAGGGAGTAAGGGGGCGCGGGCAGCTCACGCTTAGCAGCTTTAGATACGGCCCCGTGCTGAAAGCTGCAAGTTCGCCTGTCTCTCCGACCCACCTTGTCAAAATAACAACCCAAGCAAACGTGTCGACGTGTCCCGTTCCCTACCTCTCTCTGTTCGGACCGCCTACGAGTGGATTTGACTATTGATCTTTTAACATATACCCCCCCACCGCATCCCTAGACTATCCCTGACCCCCGACCCCACGCCTTACCCCCTACAAAAAAAAACATAAATATCTTCGCGAAAGCTACTGCCCGCATCTCGCATCTCTCGTCTCCCAAGCTCTTCCAGCCCCCCCACGTATCACCCACTTGCTCAAAGTTTGTGTTTTCACAGAAAGTATGCTACAATCAACATGTACTTCGTAGTAAGAAGCCCATTCTTTACGTTTGTCCGCCTATCGGACGGGTCTCGTCAAAAAAACACAACAGCAGCACAACTGGTCCATTTGTTTATCTCGACATTGACTCGTCGAGTGTCTATCTCACCCGCAGCTCTTCCAGATCCCTGATCATGAATCTCATGCGGGAGTTGATGGACTTGTTGTTGGCGATCTTATCCATGAGGCGGAAGATCTCCGTCATGTACAAAGTGTTCTTGCTGGTGTCCAGCGTCGACCCGATCGTTCGGATCAGCTTGCCCAGAGCCTGCAAACACAACAACAAACAAAAAGACAACGGCAGTCACGTGCGTCAAGATGCGCGTGATGCGGGACCAAAAACCACATGTTTACAGCGGCCACGCGGTTGTTTGTCGTACGAAACTCAAGAAATCATGATGTCGTGACCCACCGCATAGTTGCGGTGACCAGGTCGTTCACAGACCCTTTAACACACACAGACACAAACTCGCACAACATTAACGATGACACCATTTTGCCACGACTCCAGTGCAAAGCAAAAAAAAAACTGTCATGAAAAATGAGGCAAAAACTGAGACCTAGTAAAAAAGAACAGGGGGGAAGCGTTGAGGCAAAAAAAAAAAATGTGACTTATGTGCTCATGAAAATTGCACGCCGCAGTGGCTGAACAGTTGACTTCGCCTCCCTGCCATGCCAGGATGGAGCGAAATGCCGGGCTTTCACCGGCCAAGGCTACGTTTCACACGGATGAACAAGAAGCTGGTAATCATCCTTGCGCTTGCTGTGTCAAACTCGATATTTCATGTGGGTTGATGGTGTGCGTGCTTGGGTGCTAACCTCTAGGTTGTCCTCGTCCACGTCCCCGTTCTTGAACTTGAGGGCCTTCAGCGTCCTGTCCGCGCCGACCTCCTTCTTGGCGTTGAGCAGGTGCTCCACGCACGTCTTCATCACGTTCTCCTTCAGCATGCTCTTCTTGTACAGCTCCCCAATGAACTGGATGTTGCCAAGCATGCGTCGCTTCGTCTAGTTCGCCCGCGCGGCCGATCGAAGAAACAACACGGAGGAGGCGGCCGCGGTAGCAGCAAACGTGGCACACCACACGGAGAGCGTGAGAGACGTTGCACACCGGAGTGTTTTCACTTCACAGTAGTTGGCAGAGGCAATGCGACGGAGACACACAAAAAAAACACATCTGTAGGGAAAGGCTTCTTCCTAAGCGTGACGGTACAGAGCACCGGCCACCACGCGAGAAATTGAGGACAAAGACTACATCTAAAATGTCAGTACATGCAGAAGATGGACCACCACCTACACTATGCATACAACCAATGAAAATTCCCTGTTGGATTCACCACAGAGCAAATCAGCCACAAGCGTTGCTAAGCAAACAATAAAGGCTCTTCAGTGGTAGGCATACACTGCTGCCTGCACTTGAGTGAGCGCAACGTTCCACGTAACCAATATCGACAGACAGCGCAAAAAAAACAGCGGAAGCAGCGGGTTCGGGTTCGGTGGGTGCCATCGGGCTTTGAAAAGAGATTGCTTTCTACCCCACGGTGCCCACTAGGGCGGTGTCGGGAGCGCCTGACCGCCAGGCTACGCTTTCGTCATCTGGCCACCGCATACGCCCGTATCCTGTCCCTCCCTCTGTGTCGCTCTCCATCTCTCTCACTCTGTCTACCTCTCTGGTTCTCGCTCTCTGCCTGTCTGTCTCTCTTTATCTCTGGCTGTGATCCATGGGAATACCAAATCATTACCAGTAAATGTACGTCACTAAACAAGAAAAAAACTGAAAAGGGTCGGCGGGCGGCTCGCTCGAGTGGTGCAACAAAACTGCCGTAAAAAAAACAAAAACGACGAAGGAGCATCCAGCGGTACTGTACGGAAGATACCATCGGGCTTTGAAAAGAGATTGCTTTGAGCCCCACCACCGCGAGATCGGTGTCGGGAGCGCCTGAAGCCAGGTCAAGCTTTCGTCACATGGTAGCCGTGAACATGTATGCTAAGCAGACGGGAGGGGTGGGGGGGGCGTCACACACACACACACACACACACACACACACACACACACACACGAATAGCAAGCATAACTATCGAAGCAACCGCCTGCAACAGCCCTATCGATGCTCATCATGCAAAGTCCAACTCAAGAAAAAAAGAACACCATTTCATCAACAACACCAATGGGAACACCGACATCGACGACACAATGCAACAAGATAGAGCACAACAAGCAGCTACCATCGCAAAGTACCATCGCATGCATAGCTCACCATAAACCGCTTATCGTGGAACTCTGCCTTGAGCGCCTCCGCGGCCTGCTTCGACATCTTGCTGAAGTCGGTTTTCTCCTCTTGCTGCTTCAGATCTTCGTATATGTCTTCCTTCTCGAACTCCGCCTGTTAGATTGTTAGGTCGTTAGAGGTGGGGGTGCGTCCAACATACGCCCCAGGAAATCTCGGTACCAGCGCAGGTCAAGACACGAAAACTTGTTCCAAGTAGTTGCTGTGCAACGGAAAAAAAAATGAACAATTGCTCATTAAAATGGTGAAATACAATGTGGGTGATGCTTGTTTTTGTTGTGGGCAATTTTTATTTTTCAGCTTTGGGGACGCGACATGATACTGGTAACAGCACGCTTCTGAGTTCAGAGCCAACGGATAGCCCCGACGTCGGCATGCCCACACAGCATCAGCACCACGAGGAAGACGGTTTTCCTATCATCGGTGATTGAGATAGCTTGTCCGACCGCACTTTGAGCAGCCTGAAGTGTGCTCATTGTATGCATGCACGTGTCGCGGAAGCTGCACAAGGCTGCTGCAGCAGCAAACAGCGTGCTTCAACGCGATGCCAGTCTCGGACGCGACAACACGTTTTCGAACGACGCCCACAGCCGGGCATACGCCCGTGTTGCACGATCGACTCAACGAAGGTAATCCCCCCCTCCCCCCCCAAAAGACAAAAAAAAAGTGCACAGGTCATCCGGACCCTCAGAGTTTCGTTTGAAACCATCCACATCGTGTTTTCAGGACGATAACACAGTTTTTTCGCTCATCATCGAGGTCACAACTCCAGAAAAAATCTTGTCTTTCGTTTCCCGTCGGACAACAGCAACCAATTGCACAAACCACTGGGCGTCCAAATCATCCATGTAACGCAAAAGCGTACCAGTGCGGGCTGCGCGGACGTAGATGCCAATAGGAGTTGTCCATCAACACAGAAATCGATGTCTCTCATTCAGCAGCAAATAGCTATAGTTTATGTCGGGGGTGTTGAAAGGTTGGGGCAAGGGGGGCGTCGATGGAGCTGATGTGCAGATGATGTTGACGAAACAGGTCATTTTCTTTGCTTGTCGCGGGGAAGAAACACGAAGGACAATTTGGTCAAAGGCATCTCTCAGAGTCTTGTTAAAACGTCGACATGTTGAAAATTCAGGACGATAACACAGTAATTTGATCTCGTCATCGAGAGCCTTTGTCCACCGCCCGCTACAACCTGTAGTCTCCTAACCCAAAACCCCGTTTGCAAACATTCCAAAGAAACGACAGCCACCGCTGCCAAAGCTGCTCGTTCATCCAGATGGGTCGTCGGTCTACTCCATGCGCCCTGCCTGCCGGCGCCGGCAAAGGCGGCTGGCACTCTCCTCACGACAGCATGAACACAGCAGCAGCGGTAGCACCAGCACCATCGACCAAGGGGGGGAAGGGAGGGGAGGGGGGGCATGCATGCTCACCTGGCAGAAGCTGAGGAGCTGCGAGCGGAGGTTGGTCTTCTTGGCGGCGGTCAAGAGAGCATCCTCCTCGCTGGAGAACGCCTGGTCAGGCACGTGGTACTCCCGCTTGCCCACCTGCTCGTCCATGAACACCATGTAGAACTTGCCCACCTACGGGGAAGGGGGGGGAGGCAACGCGGGCATGAACTAGCGTTGAAATACTGTTGACAATGTAAGCAATATCCAAAATTCGGAATTGCGCCTTGGGTATCAAAAGTGGATCCGTGGTCAACCGAATAACCTCCCGCTGGAGCCCGACGAAACTGCTACTTCTACCCGGGGTGCAAGCTCCGCCGTTAAGCTCCATACCTAAGCACACGTCTGGCTCGAGACCTTGCCAACAACACCTTGGTCCACCCGTCGTAAGCTTCCCTCGAGTTGTCATGTTTTAGCGTATGCGAGCGGGAGGTTTTCTCTTTGGCCATTTGCCGCGTCCACGTAAACGTGTAACCATACCCTTTGCTTTCTCAAGCCTGCAACAACGGGGTGTTGGCTTCAGACCAATCGGAACATGCACAGCACCAAATCACAAACGTGCTCTGAGAGCTACCGAAAATGTCGGAGAGGTGGCCCCGTGTTGGCGTTATTTATAATCGTGCATTTCTCCGCAACCAGTGGGGGTATTGTACCACTGAACATAAGGATAGCTTTGGAAACATCTCGTCGGGGGCTTTCCTCAGAGGTATCGGATGGTGTTCGCACCCTCCCAGCCACGGAGAATTACGCCATATAAAACCCTCCAACGCGGAGGTGCCATCTCTCCAACTCTTACGGCAAGCATCAAGCACCAACAACAGGGCCGAGAAAATCGGCATCCGATTGCAACGTCACCGAGACAGTAGCAACAGCATACCCCACATCGCCACCGTCAACGCTACCAACACAAACAGATCACCTGGCTGGGTTCCTTGCCCTGCATGAGCTTGATGAACTTCTTGTCCTTGATACGCATCTCTACCAGCTCCATCTCGTAAGGGAGGGGGATGGGCTTCAGCTCCGCGCCGTCCTCCTGAGCCTTGGCCATCGCCTCCTGCAAATTTTCGTGCACCAACCCGGGTGTAAAGACGTGTGTGTGTGACGCCCGGGGGAGAAACTACTCCAAGTGAGGCTACGTGTGCCTGGACTTCACCAAACGGCGGAGGGGGTTCCAGCAAAGAAACAACGCCCCAAACTTGCCACTGCCAACCTGTCACCATAAAACTTGCTCCAAGAAAATGGGAAAAAAAAACTAACTCGGACGCACCGTAACCAACAATCGTGGACGTCCCCGTGGCTGAACACTTCCAACACAAATAATGAGAGAAAAAAAAGCCTAAAAGCCACAAGCCTACCTATCCCGCTTGACGAACGCGCAAAGCAACCCACATATGTGGTCCTCCTTTCTTTGAAAATTACAACAACGAAAATGAACTTACGAGAGGTTACCACAGCATGCATACACGGTGTGGTGGAAAAGACGAACCTCGCACGAAAAACTAAAAAAAACAAATCGTACCATAACGCTGCCGAAGGGTCCAAGCACTTCCATCTCCACGCCTACTTCGGCCGTCCACACCCATTGGTTCGCGTCCTCGTTGTAGATCGACTGCTCGTCAAGTCGGATACAGTTAGCGCCGGCATTCAAGAAACGTCAATGTGGTTGGGGTCCAGGCTCAATTTCTTATTTCGTCACCACCTTCGAGCATACATGTGTTGTAGGTCATTAGATGTATAGAGATTAGTGTAGAATCTACGGCTGAGGTAGGTGTGTCTCTTCGTCGAATTTTCGTAATTCATTGCCGAAATCTGAGCCATTTTATTTTTGAAAGGCTTGTTCCTTAATCGCGGGCGCTACATCCTGTGGTCGGATCGGATAGGTTTACGACAGCAGTGTAAGATTGCTGTTGTTGTTGTTGTTGTTGTTGTTGACTTCACATCCAAAACCGTTGTTGGCGTCCTTGATCGCGGCGACGACTTGCATATGATAAGCCTAACACCAACAGTCACGACGACGACGACGCGCACGCAATTCATGCTCGCTTGCCTTGACGAAGGCCCACGACGTGCTCCTCTCGTTCAGCCGGACGCACAGGTCGGCGTACATGTCCACGAACGTCGGCTCGTCAAGCGCCTTGTCGAACACCGCCTGCACCAGGGTGCGGAGCATCTTGAGCGAGTCCATCGGGAGGTCCAGCAGCTGGTCCGCCAGCTTGTCGAACTGCTCGCAACGGGGGTGGTTGGTGGGTCAAACGTCAACGACGACCATGGAAAGGGGAGACGCAGCGACAGGCAGTGGACGACGGAAAGGGGGAGAGGTGGAGAGGCAAGGGAGATAGGTAAGAGCGAAGAAGACTGAAACAAAAAGGATCAACCAACGTGGGTCTCGTCATCGTGAAGTCAAACGACAGCGACGGAAGAGGGAGAGATCCAAAGGCAGGGAGATGGCTAAGAGAGAAGGAGGGTTGAAAGAACAAGAATGTGAGTCTCATTGCCATGGTGGCGCAGACCAACGACGCGCAGGGGGGGACGGCGATCCAGCAGAAGAGACACGGTCACCCGGGGAGACGGATGCATGAAAGAAAAAAGAAGGATGGAAAAACGAATTCACTTGAGACGGGCCTCATCATCAAATGATGACAGGAGAGATAAAGACAAGGGAGAAGGACGAAGGAGAGGAAGGGCTGGGAAAAACAACAAAAAAAGATGGGGGTCTCGTCATCGTCATGACATGGCGACAGGAGGGTGATCAAACAACAGGGGAGTGGCGGTGGCGGTCCATGTACGACACCACCATACGGCTCGTCCCAGACAAGCATGCATCAAAGCGCCCGCTCCATCCCACCGGAGCAAGCGCGCCCCCCCGCCATCTCCGAGCCGTGTGCGACGCCTTCATGCATCTCTTTCTCGTGACAAACACATCTTTCGATTTATCCTTTGTCCATCGAAACTGCAACCCACGGCACCCTGGCCCTCGTCGACACGTGCGATGCCTTCAATCTCTCCCTTTCGTCGTCTCTTCGCATCTCGACTTCTCCGCTACAGGCACCATGGCACAGCACAGCACAGCACAGCACAGCACGGCACGGCACCACACCCACCTTCTCTCGGGTCATCTTGTTGAGGATGCTCTGGATCGACTTCTTAACCTTGGCCTCCTGAGAGTCGTCCTTCGTCGGCGCCCACCCGTTCGCCGATTTCTTGAGCGGCTCCACCGGCCCGGAGTAAAGGGGCACGAACTGCCCGCCACCGCCGCCCCTTCCACCACTACCCCCGCCGCCTCTTCCGCCGCCCCCGCCCCCGCCGCGCCCGCCCCCTCCGCCTCCCTGGCGGTCTTCCTGCTGCTCCCTCGGAGGCGCAGCGACGCCGCGCTTCCAGTTACTCCCGCCGCCGCCGCCGCCGCCTTGGTACCCACCGCCGCCGCCGCCCTGGAAGCTGCCGCCCCCGCCGCCCCTGCCGCCGCCCTGGCGGGGGTCGCCGCCGCCGCCGCCGCCCCGCCCACCGCTGCCACCGCGGCCCCGGTCGTCATGCCCGCCTTGGTAACCACCGCCGCCGCCCCCACCACCCTGCTGGTAGCTGCCCCCGCCGCGGTTTCCGCCGCCGCCGCCGAAGCGCTGCCCGCCGCCGTAGCCGCCGCCGCCCCGGCCGCCGCTGCTGGTGTTCTTGTCCGTGTCCGCGGTGATCGGGAACTGCGGAAGCCCGGCCGGTCTGTGAAACGCCGCAGTTTGTTGCGTGGGCAATGGTGGGTACGGCAATCCAACAAGAACGCGAGTGAAAAGTAGAGGTTTTGTATGATCAAAATATATGTTGCGCGGGAGATCAACAAAAACATGAGCACCAAAAAAATCGTGTGTGTGTGAGAGAGTGGTCTACATACACTTGCAAACATACGGTTGCCGATCAGCTCTTCGCGCCGCAACCGGACCTGCCACAAATCACGTACATTCATCTCATCGTCTGTTCTACTGACACCGCCCCCGTTTC